TTGTGGCGATCATCTGATTTAGTTGACAAATATGACAGATTGGTCATATTTGACCAATGATCTATATTTATCATATTATTTATTATTTTATTTTATTAATTTAATAAGATAACTTAGATATTAAAAATGGAAATTAGTATTTTACATAATATTTAGGTTAGAGTTTGGAACTGGCTTTTGGTCATCCAGATTGCTCACATTAAATAGTTTAGGATTTAATAATCTGGATAACCCAATTAAATCACCCAGTTATTAATTCAGGTTAATTAACCCAGTTGATACAGATATTTTTGAATAACCAGATGATTGACATAACTGTCAAATTATAATATAATTTTCACAATTTTGTTAATTAATTTGCTAATATGCATGTGTTAAAAGAAAATATTTTATTTTTAAAAAGAATATTTTAATTTTAAGGCATAAATTTTATTTATTTTTACCAAAAATATCAATTTTCCTCTTTTAATGAATTTCTACTTGTTTAAAAAATTTATATTATAAAAGAAATTTATAAGATTCTTTCAAAGCTGTCTTTTTTTTTAATTTTCAATTCGTTACCTCTTAACCTCAAAAATAATGAATGATGAACCTTCTGAAGAAAATCCTTCTGACATACATTCAGATAATAATAACATATCCATTGTCTTTAGTAATAGAATTCTATTATTAACTTCAGAAAATCTTCTTGATGAAGAACAATCATATGTACCAAAAAAGTTTAAGTTAAATAAACCTAAACGTAAATATGTTAAAACTAGTTAAGTATAAGAATATTTCAATATAGACCAAGATGTCAAATGTGATATTTGTCAAATTTTAATTTTAAATTTATAAAATAAAGTAACATATAGTGATCAATGATTTTTATATGATAGTTTTACAGGTAATATGGCAAATCACCTCTGTGAAAAACACATAATATTCATGAGAAAATAAATAAGATAATATTAATTTTTTATTTTATTATAATTTTTCAATATCAATAATTATTAAAAATTCTTATTAAAATTTAATTATTTATTTATTTATTTTTAACAGCTTCAAGATAAATCTGTTCATTAACTTTATCACAAATTTTAGAATAGTTTAAAATTAAACACATAAAGAATCACAAAATAAAAAAATTAGGCAAGCTATTATTGAATGGACTGTTATCAATAACCTTTCAATTAATGTAATTTAGAGTAAAGATTATCGAAAAATGATGTCAATTATTGATTCTATATTTCTAATTCCTTTTAATAAACAAATTAAAAAGGAAATTCATATTGGATACACTAATTCAATTGAAGAATTAAAGATGCTACTTGTAAATACCTGCAAAATAGCTTTTTTGACAACGGACCTTTGGATAACTTGAAATAAATATGGATATATTGGTATAACTTTACATTAGATGTCAAGTGATTCTGATATTTATGACTGTTTTCTGTGTATGAAATATATGACATATTTATATTCTGAAGAAAATAACATAACTTTTTTAAAAAAAAAGGTATCTGAGTTTGATTTAGATGGAAAAATCACCTGTATTATAACTAATAATAATAGTAACATAATTTAAGCAATTGATTTATAGGATAATATTAAGCATTTACATTGTACTACTCATACATTACAGCTTTTAATTTATTGTGCATTTAGAAAATCTAGCATTTATATTAAATGAATTACATGTTGTTAGCTGGAGGGCTGAAAATAAAACTTAGACGATAAATTCAGTCCATCAAATTAATCACAATAACTTTATCACAATCACGCCTGTATGAAGACATGGCAAAAGGTAATAGTAAATGAATAACAAAT